GAGATACGGAGATACGGAGCAAAGATTGTAGAAAATAAAAATCGAATTTTTGAGATAATGGTGTATCCGATTTGAATGATTCAAAAAACATTCAATTTGTTGGGGGAAGTGAGAAAAGTGGTGATTAGTTTTTGACAAAGGCAGGTCCAGCCATCTAAAAAAAAATTTTTTTGTGTATCGAAAATAATTAACTTCCCGTAGGGTAGTTATAGTAATGGGCCGAAAATCGAAAATGAAAATTTATGCATTTCTCGACGTTTTGAAAGTTTCTGAACATTTTGGCATATCTCAGAAAAAATGAATGTGTGTGTGTGTGTGTTTTGTGTGTGCGCAATACGAGTATTTCGTCCACGTTTTCGGGCGATCAAATAATTTGATATGGTTCAAATTACATCCGATTCGTATTGATAGGAATATGTGCTGATTAGTTTTTGGTAAAGGCAGTTCTAGCCGTTACGGAGATACGGAGCAAAGAGTGCTGAAAATAGAAATCGAGTTTTTGAGAGAACGGAGTATCCAAGTTGAATTATCAAACAATCAATTTCTAATGATAGGGAGAAGTACTGGTTAGTTTTTGGCAAAGGCAGGTCCAGCCGTTACGGAGACACCGCGCAAAGAGTGCAGAAAATTAAAATCTAGATTTTGAGAGAAAGAAGTATCCGATTCGAATGATCTAAAAAACCTTAAATTTCTAATGATTTGTAGAAGTGGTGATTAGATTTTGGCAAAGGCAGGTCCAGTCATCTCGAAGATACGGAGCTAAATGTATGCTTTCTGCTTGTATTGACAAAACACTTTTGTAAAAGTTGCTTGTCAAAATTGACAAATTGCTTTTGTAAAAAAAATATTTCAAATTTTTTTTCTAAAAAAAATTTTTTTTGTATATCGAAAATAATTCAAATTTTAATTCTGGATAAAGTTCTAAAGCTCACTTATATACTTTACATGCATAATTTTAACTTTGAAATTCAGTTTATATAATTTTTTATAAATATTAGTAAATGTCACAATATTTATAATAATCTATTTGAAAACATTTAATATTATACATTAGTTCCTGCAATTTGCCTTAAGGCACGATGCCATACATACGCCACTTGTTAATTTTTAGGCAAACTTACAACTTTTCTACGGAGAATCAATGAGTTTATTCGAACATGTATTATATCCTTGTATTGCATAATCACTTAAATTAGTGTTAATTGATAAAGTATTCCTGACCACATACAATGCATTTACAATTATCAATTAGTGTTGCAACTTGAACGAGAAAATAATCCTCTCCGACAGCGTTCTTGGCGCCTTGCTGGCAATCTAATATTGCCAAAAGGTTTTCCCCGTTATGTGCACGACAAATATTTGTTGACAATATGAAGCCAGAGGTCATAAATAGAGCAGCAATTAGAAGTTGCAAACTAGAAACATATTTACAATAATGAAAAATTGTGATTGACGTTAGAAATCTTCGTTAAATCTTATTTTTGGCTCTAATGCTGTATGACATTTTCTTTTAAGAAGAATTTTCGAAACTATAATTAATAAAAAAATTTAAAATACTAAATATCTGAAAATAAAATATTTAAATATTGTTTTTTGCGCCACTGGATATAAGTCATCAACTCTCCTGATGAAAAAATTTAAATAACTTAATCATTATTTATAAGAAATTATTTTCTAAGTGAATAGTTAAAATTAGATAATGTTAAAACAACTAATGAGTTGTTTTTCCAACATGCCCCTTTAGTATGCAATTTTTTTAGGCCGACGATTGTAAATTACACATATTTGTTAAATGTCCTTAACTGGACAGTTGTAAATAAAAGAGAGAATAATAATAAAAAAAATTAAAAAACGTTTAAAAAAATTCAAAATTCTTAAAATTTTAGAAAACTTTAAAATATTATAAAAGTTGTCATTTTCTGAAGTACCTACCTGTTAATTTTTTTATGGTAATTAAAATATATTGCATTTTACATTCACATTTTTAATATTTGTACAAACATCCTTACACGGATATAGTATCAATTTTAGGATTTTATTACTTTTTGATTATGCATATAACGATAAATGTAAAATTTAAATTAAATATATATTAACAAAGCAAATTTTATATTTAAACATTGATGTATTTTCATATAATTTATATAAGATTTATAATTTATATAAAAGTAATCATGTATTTTGTCAGTAACTATTTTGAAACTATAAAGATGAGACTCATTTTAAAACTATTATTTAAAATTTTGTATTAACTATTTATTATAACGTGATTTTTCAATGAGTAAAAAATTCAACTTCACATTAAGCAAATTGAATTCTTTCACTTTTAAAAAGCTAATTTTTTTTACTGTTATCACTATTATATTTATTATTATATTCTTTCTTTAAACATTATTTCAATGTAATATATACGTACCATTGCTTTATGAAAAAGGTTTAGATGTTTTGTTATAAGTATAAAAAGCAAAATTTTCAGTGATTTCGATTTTTATTATATTGATCCAAATTTAAAATTAGCATATTATGCATTGTACCCACTTAAAATAAGCAAGAAAAATTTGCTTTTCAAAATTACTCTATTAATTAGTAAAAGCTCTATTTTGCAAAAATTTGAAGGCTTGCGTTTGTATTACATAGTTCTACGATTTCGAAATTTTAAATCATAATATAATAAAATCAACCCAAAATCAGCGTTTGGTAATATACATATAAAATGAGAATCCTGCTTAAATGAAAAATTGACTTTTACTATAATCAAAATAAAATTTAGATCATTTGAAATAATTATGTTTAAGATAAACTAAAATATTTTATACTTTCAATTTGATTATCAATTTTTGTCAGTAATTTTATCATTTTGTCACTAATTTTTGTAATAACACATATGTAAACCTGAAAATTTTTCTGCAAATTATTAAAAAATAATAAGAGTGAATTATTTTTTTATAATTATTTATTTCATATATACTTTCGTATAACATTATATGTCTACTTAGTATGTATAACTACGTCTAATAATGATAATAATAATAATTAAACGTTCCTATTAGGAGTTTTCAAAATACATATACATTTACAATTAAAATGATAATTAACACTAAATAATAAATTCAATAATTAGGTTCATCGCCTTTTGCAATAATATATTTATAGTTATAAGAGAGGAATCGTTTGACAAAACGTCTTAATTTTTTTATATTTTTTCTTTTCATATTTTCATAATACAAATATCTGTATATAAATTATATGTATATATTAATTTTTATGCTCACAAAATTGGAATAGTTTCTTTAATTTAAATCTAATTTTCGTGCAACGCGATCAATTGATTTTCAGTAATAATGAACTGAATTTCATTCGAGACAAATTTTTGTTCGCGCACGTTTTTTCTCACACAATCAAAACCGATTGCACTCGAATTTATAAAACACATACATAAATATCATTATTTTATGGTGGGATAGTACGTAAAAATGTTTTTTTTTTAATTTTTTATAATATATTATTATTGTATATAAATAATGTTATTTTTTTTTAAATTATTGTTCACATCAAAAACTCAACATCGAACATGAACTTACATTTCACAAAAATCTTAGTGTCTTGTGACTATACATATTTATACTAATTTTAATTTAATTTAATTTTTTGAACGATTTGTCGTTCGATTCCTTCAGTCTCAAAAATCGTGTTGTCTGCGAAAGAAATGTGTTTTTCTGATCCATCACTTATAACAAACCGAATGTACTTTAGAAAAGCAATAATTTATATTAGGCCAAATATATTTTCGATTCTTTGCACCAGAAGAAAACATTTCGTCCCGCAGTGTTTCTTGTACAAGGTACAAGAACGTTCAATTCACAACAAAAATCTCATATTTTCATCTAAGTCCTATTATACACATACATAATCACTTAACAAATACAAATTAATTAATAAATTCACTTAACTGTTAAGACAATTATCATTTATAGCTATATTTTGACATCAACACAATTTTTTCGATATATGTTCAAATGTGAGAGAATATATGAATCTATGAACGAATATAAACACAATTAATAAACTTGTATCATATATTCATATAAATTTGATTGCTCACATAGAACATACTCGTATCACAAATAAAATATGTTTAAAGAGCGATTCTAATGAATAATGATTGATCGATAAATGATTCAGATAACGTTCAATAAAAAATCAATAATAGTAATATTTATTGTGTAATAATAATAAAATATTAATAATGATAGGATCAATCATAAATTATTCATCTACAGTCTTCGATTACACACATATATATAGGTAGATAACACATATTTATTTACAAAATATTTTCTTCAAGAAAAATATTTTTTAATTGAAAAATGAAATTTAATTGAAACAAAATCGGACTGAGATCTTTGTCGTCTTACTCGATATAACTAAGATCAATCACTTAACACAAATTAAAAAAGATAACATTTAATTTGCAATGAAACTTAAAAATATATGTATACATGCTTAGAATTTTTCAAACTTGCATGCATATATTAATATTTTCACAGCTTTTTATATACATATGATATACTTAAGAAAAGCACGATATTACAAACTAATTGTAATGTGAAAAGATATTTACAAAATTTAAATATCAAAAATTAGAAAAGAATAAGCTTATCTTAAATCATATATTGATTATTTATATTTACAATTTATTCTGCTATAATATGTTCATGGACTTAAAATTATGTCAGAGTAAAATAATCTTTGACTTTCATAAAGATATTGCAACCGTTTTTTCTTTAATTTAAAGAATAATTCATTATAATTTAAAATATTTACAACAGACACGTATATTTAATCAAACAATAATATCATGTATACACGCACAAAAATATTTATAAATATAAATGTGTGTATATAATTAATAATATTGAAAGCGATTAGTGCCTAATTTGTTTTAAAATAGATAAATATATTTACAGTAAAACTTTCTTAATTTTCCGCATTTTAGCCAAATTTCTATTTTCAATAATTTAGTTTAATTTTCTGTATACTATAATTATTAGTATATATAATCATACCTATACAACGAACTCATTCCATCGCAATCACTTATATCTGTACAAACAGGATATATTTTGAGCAGGTTTGACTATGCTTTATCAACTATGTTACTTTTATTAGTTTATATAATTTTCACTAACTTTTGGTCGATTTGGAATATTCAACCTAAAGGTTTCGTCGCATTTCGACGGTGAATTAATTAATATCACTTAAACTCAGCAGCATTTGGCTTAATGGGCTCAAGGCTGATTTTTTTGATTAATTTAAATTGGTCTCATACTTCATATTAATTTCTCACTTGATAAGGTGATATGAAAGAAATAACTAGATCTTGCTAATGATTTGATCATTAGGTGAGTCGTTCGATGGTCCTTCGAAACGGAATTTGCAGTTTATTTAAGTTCAAACTGACTGATTCTTAAGCTTGAAGTAAAGATCCCAATCTCGCAGGACTTGGTGACCTTGTTTTTGATAGATTTAGTGGTGCCTCTCTTTCAACAACATTGCATGGTTCAGGCGACGCACTTAGGGTAGAATGAGGTGATTGAAACCTCCTTGCCGGTGAACGAATGACACTTGTGAAATTGTAAGAAATATTTTGTGGTGTCAATGAATTTTGCTGTGTACCGGCTTCTGCCCTTGCTAAATAATTTTGAATGATATCAGCCCGCTTTGCTTGTTCAGGCGTCATTCTAGGTTCAGACCTTAAGCTTCTCGCCAGTTCTGAATGAGTCGACGACAAATTGTATTTTTGCTGCGTCATCTGCTGGTTCACCAAAGGTCTAGTCAAATGCAATTGCAACTGTGATTGGCCGTTGCTTGCACCATTTTCTGATGTTGTCTGCACATTTGTTGTCGAAACATCTTTTTGGCGCATCGCACGGAATTTCTTATGAGGTTTGTAAGCTTCATCCATCAGAGAATTGGTATCGTATAAAGGTGGAGCTTGCAGAACACGCTTCAAGACGGGCATGTCATCATTGTTTGGTTGAACGTGCGAAATTTGAAGTTCATTGGAAGACCTAGGCGACGAACAACTTGATCCAGCATTGCGGGTATTATCAGGTTTTTCATTGCCAGATTCGATTCCTGAATCAGTTGGTGAATCAAGTTTTCTGTAACCTGAAAATAAAGAAAATACAAATTATAAATTTGGTAAAAACGACATAAATCAAAATAATTTGAAAACAAATCAAAACCATAATAAAAAATTAATAAAGGATAAAAATGTTTTATTTCTCTACACACCTGGCAAAATTCTTTGGCCGTTCACTGCGGTGATAGTCAAGCCATTCTGAGCAAGTCTGGCTGCAAACTCTTCATCACCGGAAGAACCAGAATTCGCCCTTAGTCTAGGGCTGGTTCCAGTTAAGCTAGCTGCCAACAGTGGCGATGTTTCTTTGTATGACATTTGTTCGCGGTATTCCACTGGACAATTATTATCCAACATTGAATTTCCGCGTTTGATCAATTGTTCGCTTCGGTATTCTACAGGCTTCAGAAGTTGCTCCCGGTATTCAACACCGCAACCATTTTCATTCACTCGCTTCATAGGATAATCTACTGGATGTTTTATGTATTGATCTCTGTACTCCATAGGACCTTCAGATTCTAAACCGCGTTTCAGTAATTGATCCCTGTACATTGGACAATTTTCCGCCTCTAAACCGCGTTTCAATAGTTGATCACGATATTCAGCGTTATCAGCTACTGTATGATCTTTGTGATCACCATTGGGCAACTGCTCAATATTATTTTCAATACCGTTATCATCTAATTGTTGACGTAGCAATTGCTCTTTGTGCTCCGTCCGGAAGACTATCAATTTCTCTGTATGTAGCGTACTTAATGTTCGGATATCCGGAATAAGATTAAGCAGAGTATCAACAAAATCAATTTCGGACAACCTCGTGTGCTTCAAGGCTCTTAGTAAACTCTCATGAATCTTCTCAATGAACATACGGTCTTTCAAACCATGTCTGTCCGGGGATATCAGAACAACCGCGGAGAACAAAGCGACTTCCGTATCGCTCAAGTCCAACGAGTTTATCTTCTCAGCAAATTCAAATGTAGAATCTACCAATCTTTCCGCGTTAGCTGTTGCTGGACATCGTATGCTATCTCTGGTTAAACTTTTGCCGTTCAAGCAAATAACGCTATTGTCTTTCGCGTCGAACATTTTGATCAAGCGAACGAATAAAGCATCGAACAAGCCTGATTTGAGCAGAGTGAATTTGTCTTCACGACCGAGGTTGGAAAATCCTGGTATTGAGTTGGCGAAGTCTATAACATCGCGAATAATTGAAGAAAAGCGGTGGGAAAATTCTTCGGTGTCCTGTGCGGGCATTGCCAGTAGCGGGTGACTCGCGTGGGACGGAGACAGAGGCGGCGTGCATGGTGGTGTTGATGGATTCAGAGGGCAAGCCTGAAAATAAGGAAAGAAATACATTAAATATGGCACTATACTTGATATAAATAATAAATCTAAATTTTTGTCAAATTTTCGGCGCTTACAGAGGATAAAATAATTATTTTGTAATCGTATTTTTTATATATTTCATGCGACGTAAATTCTACAACATATCGTATTGTTTACCTATTATTTTAATTTCTAACGCTATTACTCAACATTGACCTTGCTTTAGTGACGTAATTTATTGATAAGCTAAATCGATATTTCGATTTATTTAATTAATTATATTTCACGCAAGAAACGTGTAGCAGCATTTGTGTAATATTAATTGTTCATAACATTTTCAAATATTTTTCTTTTATTGACGCAAGCAAAATTGGTTCTCATACATGAACAATCTTATTTATGAAATGCCATCATCAAATACGAAATAATCTATAATCGATATCGTTGGTCACAATACGTGTTAATATTTTGCATTTCAATTCTCATAACATAAATTATAAACATCCGTATTTAAACATTCTTTTGTTAATATCTGAAATATTGTTATGAACCATTTTGAATAAATCAACACCATATAGAATGTGAAATAGATAAGATAGTATTATGGGATTTTTAGTCGTACGAATAATTCGACGGATTGGATTTATGAAAACATTCAATTCATTTGATCTATGTGTAAGCAATAACATTCTGGAGAACAATGCTCAACTTCTGATAATTGCCGGTGCAAATAGATTAGCAATTAAAAATTGTAGTCCTTTTCTAATGATATTTAGAATAACCAAGTCTTAAAATATCAAATAGCGACAATTTGGACTTCATACTCGAACGTAAATTACATGTTAACAAAACATTAACTTGTGGATCTTCTGTTATATATTTGTTCTTTATACGAAAAGTCCTTGAATTTATATTTGAAATAATTATTCGTAAACAGACATGTTTACGATTCAGTCTGTGTTATCTATACTTCTAATGACATTGGCTTTGACATTCAAAAGAAATAATTTTCGAAAAATATGGAGGAAAGTTCAACATGTAATTAGGATATTTTAGGTCACATGGTAGAGATAACAAAAAAATATTTGAAAAATTAACGTTTGCTTCTTCAATATACGTCGTTGCTAAGAAAATCATTAGGTACTATTTTCTCAAGATAGTTAAATTTGTCATCATAAAATTTTTCATAATTGGAATTAATGCAAATCATATAAAATTGTGGAATTATAACTTTGTAACTCGTCTTTGATTACTTAATAATTCATTTCCGCATGAACAACTAAATCAATAATTTAATACGATGTTACATATAGCTTTCCGGTTATTTTCGGTTTTACTACACGTGCTATAATTTTGAATAAATATCTGACATTGAAATCATCAAGTACAAACACCGTATATTGCTACGTACTAACGTAATTCGTTTTATGTTCAGTACATGTGTACATCATTAAATTTAAGTAATACATATGGTACATTTTAGCTTGTGTTTGTTCGCATATTCGCAATATTTCCTTATCACAAATTTAAACAGATTGAAGGTCATTGCCGAATGATAACGAGATCAAATAAATGTATACGTGTTCCTGTATCTTTTGCATGTATATATATTTTTGTGTATAATTTTGACCTTGAATTTGAATACAGCTAAGTCGATAATAGATAAATTTATTTTGCGAACTGACCTTGGAGTCTGTTATTCGCTGAAAACGCTACTAATATAAGTATGAACGTGAAACGTCACAAGACACTGAGATATCATATTTCCTCCACCTATCTTAAGATACAAAAATATACTTCTGCACGTGAAAATCACAAGCACTATTATATACGTACATATAATGGAATTCAAATTGTCAAAAGTAGAAAACTTTTGCATAATCAAAATAAACTTAAATGCCTCAAATCTTGATCAAAAATTAAGAAGCTTAATTCTTCATTTCATTCGTCCCTTCCTATCATGATCGTTTCAGGTAAGATGATATACTACTAACTATAGTATTATATTTTTTTTAAGTATCCTCGTAAAAGACTATGATTTCAAATTTAAGACTCCATTTATTCATATTTATTTGCTTCAAATAATTGAAAATTCAATTCATCTTATTTCTTATCACGCTATCTTCAATGCGCCACTGCCAGTAAATGCGTAGGCAGTATACGAGTGTAAAAACCTAAATTGAGTCATCTGAAATATTTCGATCGATATGTTCATTTCCCGGAAAACCTCAGGCCAACCTTGATACAATATCACAAAATCACCTATATATAGAAATACAAAATACCCTAGTTCAAAATCATCTCGTTATACAATGGTTGTTATAACCGGATTGCTTTTTAAAAATTGTCTTATAGTTGTATAATTAATTTAAACGTATAAATATACACATATCAAACGCGCAGCCATGAAATGACCTTTCAATAATTTTCTGTCACATTGTATTTCCGCGTAAGAATTCTTACATTTACATGCGTATTTTTACAAGCTATGTAACAGAGTCTAACTTTCAAAATTTTCTCAAGATGTTTTCCAATAATACTTCCTTGTTAACCTACGTCGCGGACAAAACTTGGCCGTCAGTTTGTGACGAGGTCGTCCCGCCATATATTTTTTTGGTTTATTTATATTAGTTTTTCGTTATTTTAGTTGCACTAACATTTGGGCAGAAGGCCGCAATAGTAATGGACACATTGTATACAGAACTAATGAAATAATGGAGTAATAACACACGTGACAATAATAAATGTCTTGTTTTAATATTTGATGTTTAACATGTGGCTGTTGTAAATATTTTAATTTATCAAAATAATTAAGCAAGATTAGAGGCTGCGGATCAAAGTAGTTGTTGTGCAAACATAGTTTAAACAAGGTAGTTTGGTTATTATTGAAAGATTAAAAAAATGATAGGTAGTACTAGGGCAGGTTCGTAATCTGAGTTAAACTCCATCTCTAACCAAGACATAAATATGAGAACTTTTTTAAAACTGTCCGGATCGTGAGAACAATAAATTTATGAAACATATTTTTATTGTTATCACTGCAGACAAATTTATTTCTTAGAACGTAATTGATCCGAGAAAACATGATAAAGTTATTATTATTGTACCAAGTATAATTCGCAGAAGAGGAGCACATTCAAAAAATGAAGCACATATATTTAAATAATATAATCTGTTCAAATTTAAACTTAAGCATCGCTAATAGGATTCGACATTGAACTGTAAGTCTGACGGCCTTGTACTCGCATACGTACAAACTGGCGAACAAAAATTTATACAGAGGCGAAAATGTAATAGACCACGGTTAATTCGAAAAGACTATTCCTTGATATATACGTTTTATATAATTTATATAAAGGTCTGAATAAAATGTTTAAGTGCTATTTTTAAAAAAATGAAATTAAACAATTTATTGATTACTTCAATGACTTTTCCAATTAATTAGTCATTTATTACCCAAACCAAGAATAGATTTTCTTTTCAAAAGAATGTTTTTCGGGAAATCGATACCGTTTATCTTGTTAGTATGTGTTATTTTACATTTCTGAGTAAGCTTGTATGTATGTAAAGCTGTGTATACATGATCCCTATAAGCTAGTATGTATGTATGAATGGCTCGTAAAATTTTGACCTTGAATAATATCGCGTTATTTTTCGACCTTGCCCGAGACACGAGCATTTCACACATACGTCACAGAACAGATATATATGTATTATACATATATATGTATATGTATGTATGTATATGTATATAATATATTATACATTTTTGTATATATTTGTAGTCTATCGTTTTACATATCGTTTACAATTACAATTCTCCAAATCTATGGCCGTGACAATGATATTAAACCGCGCATTTTGTAAAAAATCAATTTTGTTTCCTAAAAAATGTAAAAAATATTCCATTATTATTGGTTCTGAAACTAAATGTGTCCTGCGATGAATTTCATATGTTAATGAAGCAGGTAGTCTAGGTATGCGTCAGCAATATATGAACCTACGCTTCTACAGTAAAGTTGAAAAAAATACCACGAGATCAAGGCTTCTGCTTACTTATGCAAAGTATTATATTTTCATTTGTATTAATTTTTACTGACTCTATGATAATTGCGATTTACATTTGTTTTGTCATCGTTTATTACAATTATACTTATTATTCATAGCGGTTGCTTCGTACTATAAAGTAGTTATAACTCAATAATAAATATATATATATATATATATATATATATATATATATATAACATGGCTCATGTATAATATGAACTTTAGAATATCATTATGAGTTTCATTTGTGTGACTAACACAATTGACCTTTATTATTAATTCTTCAAATAAAAAAGATTAGATACATGGCGTCATTATTTCCTGTCGCATGATTTATTTCGTTCGAATCAAAATACATTATTAGGCTCCTGATACAAAGATACTAAGTCATATAGCTATAGTAATTCTGCATTTTATGTTTTAGAAGCTTCAGATAAACTTTCAATATTACAGATTATAAACTCAACCTCTTAATAGTATAAGTTCAATGTTGAAGCATTTTCATACGCGGAAGATGTGTAGTTATTTCAAGATCGTCAACATTTAAAAACGGCTTTATGATAGCACACACACATGCTTAACTATATAATTCCGATCATCATTTAATTTATTCATGAAGTAATAAAATAATTCAGCTCATAATTTTTGCCTAAAGGTCAAATTGGAATCAGAGCTTAGTAGAAAATTTTTGCGAAGATTTACTACTACACAGTGTATATTTGTGCACATATATAAAATATATATGTATATTGACGACATTTGCGAGGTCGCATCAAGGTCTAGTCTGAGTCTCGACGTATTCCAATCGGAAACCAATGTCGGAACAAATATATATGCATATGCATATATGTATGAACGAGTTAATATTAGTGATATAGTATTTTGCTGCATTTCGTGCTACTTAAATTGTAATTAACTAAACCGAGAGAATAGTGAAAACTTAAGCTACAAGGCGTCTCCACCGTATAACTAACTTATGAACTAAAACACAAATAATAAAAGAACATTTTACCTCGATCAAATTTAACATTTCAATAAATATTACATATTTTATTGCATGATTGTTAATGAATTTATGAACATTTAAAATAAGTAAAATAGAGATGGTACGTCTGAAATTTATATTCTGAATTTAAGGTTCATTAAGATGAAATGCACATTTTATATTTTTTTGTCAATTACTGTATTAATAGAAATGAAGTAAGATAAATATTTGCAATAATAATAATTTCAAATTTGCACTCAGACATCATCATTTAACCAAAATTTTTCTTCTTCCAAAATTTTCGAACGTTTACGGACTATAGTTGTCTCGACCTGATATTCAACTGACTTCTTTCATTTATATAATTCAAAATTAAAATATTGTGCAAACATTGTCTATGAAGCAAATTATTTATTAATGACTTTTTCGTGTCACCTTTGAATTAGTATGATTAATACAATTTTTACAAAAATTACAGCTTATATTGATATCGCATCTCCCGCGCACCTTAAATTGATTTATTATCTAGTTACTTTATTATTCTCTATTATAATACAATACATTTCAATAAACATTTTTGCAAATGCATTTATGTGGATTGCCAAGGACGCATGACGTCTTGCTAACACATATCAACATGTAGGTAACGGATGTCAGTTTATACATATATCTAGTTGCAAATGTATGCAATCTCGAATCAAGTTTTAATTTGTAATCTTGAAAGAGCAGAATAACGGTAACCGATTTACTAATTTGATTATGATTCACTTTTATTCAATACTGTTTATTATTTTTTTGAAAAACTAAAGTGACGCTCAAGTGTTAAAAAGATGCGTAAAATAATTGATTCATTGTTAGTGTATTTTGATATCACATTTATCATTTTATGACTAATAAATATACAATAATATAGAACAATAAATTATTCAACGTTTTCAGTAAAACTTTTCAGTAATATACACGTACATTGTATATTTTTATACAATGTTTCAATATATGTGCGACATAAATTCCTGTTCATTACAAAATAATTGTTATTCAAAGCGAACAATTAACAACGAGGTCACAGCTTCGAAAATATTGAAATATTTTTGTTTTCAAAAACCTGTCTTCCTCTATTTCGATACTAAAATAACCAGAATCTAGATGGAGGTGGGTTTGTAACTAACTACTAATGCCAGGGAAACTTTCAAAAATTATACATATATAAAAATTGTCATTGCCAAAAATAGTCTCACGGAAAACAATGTAGTCAAGAAACTACAATACATGTATTTTGGCTGTAAGAGCCTCTTCTTGAGCGTTTGTATAAATGAACCTTGTTCTACTTCCTAAAAGAAAGTGCTTAAGATTTCTTTTACACTTTCTTCCACGCACACGGACACATTTGTATTTTTTATCATGCCGCCGCGTCGCTTTAATTTCATTTATTGTTTATAGCGATTTATATCTTTTGCTTCAGCTTTTGCTTTCATCGGAAGCAATTCGCGCGTCAAAAATTGGCCATTGAGGCGGAATATTTAAATTTCTAATAAATCTTGGTAATAGAAATTTGTAATTATTATTTGAAATTAAATTCTTATGAATTGTATAGCTTGTTGCTAGATAAAGAGAAATAAAAAATATTTAACGATCCATGAAGAATCGGTATAAAATATTTTTCGCGCATTTTTAAGTTTATTAGTACAACGCAATTTAATTGATCATTATTATTATTTTTAGATTATTTCTACTAAGTGACGGAAAAACAAGTACTTAGACTTACCAGTCTCATGCTGCTCGCGTTAGATCCATGTCCCAAAGCGTTTTCTCCTCCTAATCTAAGATTGTTCTCCTTCATTATTTTCACGCGTTCTTTCGTGAATTCGCACGTTTGCAAATGCGCCCTCGTGACAGCCCTCATCAGCGCCAAAGGCTCCTGCAATATGCTCAATTCTTCCGTCTCCAAACAATGATTCATTTCTCCATTAGGCTGGTGATGGTGGTTCAAGGAATTTGTGTGTTGGTCACTAACTAATCTATGATGACCATCTAAAAGTCTATTATTAGAGTCACAGTGATTCGGAGGAGACAATCGTTGTTGTAGAGCATGATGATTCGAATCAGCTCCGTTGCTTAATCGATGGCTTAGAATCGAATGATGTGTATGTACTGATTCTGTGTTGCCTTGCATTAATCTGTGATTCAATAGACTGTGATTTGGGTCACTACCTAGAAGCCTGTGATGATCTGGGACACCATGTCCATTAGGTCGTTGGATTGATGTTGGGTATCCATTCACTGATGAAGGATGCTGCTGCGTACTGTTGTTTTGTTGCTGCTGCATTGCTGCTAGTATACGAGCTTTTTCGCGTTTTGGCACACGACCGAATCTTACGGCTGAAATGAAAAGAAATTGAAATTATTATTTTTGAAAAGAGAACTATGCAAACTTTGCATCAAATAAGTAACCATAAATTTAATAAAATGAGTTGAATTAAAAATGTTTTACCATGAGTTCAACTCACATGCAACTTTCAAGTGTTTTATTTAGATTTCTACTAATTTCAACTTAATAATTTATTGCTTTTATATTTAATAATAGTTAAATGATAAAACTTGGCAAATTCAATTAAATGCACGAATGTAGCATTACCGCTCGACCGAGTGTTAGAGATTCTCCAAGAGAAAAAAACATAACAAAAATATTTTGTTACAGTAATCTTGACACATTTATGTGCATGGTTGTATTATATATCAAGACCTTGCACAATGCAAAATATTTATAATGATATTAGAATCAGTGGTCGCATTTGTTACTGCTTCGACCTATTTAATGGGACATTATATATATATATATATATATATATATAAATGAGCATATAACGGTTTCTTGTAATTTCCAATTGAAGAGCAGATGTTAAGTCATACATACATATACACCTGTTCAAAAAGTAACAGCTGTCACTTGATTTTTATTTTATTTTTCGTTTGCACACGCTTTGTTTATAATTATACACTTGTACATTAATTATATATATATATATATATATACGAGTATATATATAATTTTTTAAACACCTGTGCATGAATATAAACCAAGAATTGCGACCTACATAACTTTATACAAAATTATAACAAAAATGACCTGCGATTATGCATTAGATTATGAATGCAAACCACATACAAAAACAAATATCATTAATTGATCTTAATCAATAGCATACAGTAATTAATTCATTACATGTCTCCACGCGGAAGCTCAGTGCATCATTTTTGAAGGCAAACTTGTAAATATATTTTTATAGTATATGGATATATTCATATAGAAGTATACGTGCATAAACATAATAGAAAGTGTATGTACACGGCTGATGTCTTTTGTAGGCCAAAGGTGAATATCTAGGTCATACGAAACACTTTTGTTTCGTTTAAACCGTCTGTATGAGTCGTCCTCGCATGAATGTGAATCATATTTATGTATATGAATCGTTTTAATTCGTTAAAAAGTATGAGAATTATAAGTTTCATTGTAAGTAAAGTTCTAAATGTGAGTTTGAGTCGTAAAAATTTCAAGGTACTTATTACTTTTAACTCAACTGATGATTGAAGCATTAATAATAAAACACTTAAAAATTTAGCCTTTAGTATTTTTCTAAATTAAAAATATATTTAGTCATTTTAATTAAAAAGAGTTTTCAATAGAATAGTTAAGTGTTAATTTAACACTAACATAATTTAAATTGAAAGTCCGATTTAATATTAGTATTAATAATAAAATCTTAACCACATCATATGTATATTATATATATATATATATATATATATATATATATATAT